CCCTGCCTGCTCCTTGTCTCCCTCCCTCCCTGCCTGCTCCCTGAGACACTGTGAGTTGGAGGGAGGGAACGGGCTGGGAGGGAAGGAGACAAGGATCAGGCAGGGAGGAAAGGAAGGAGGGAGGGAGCAGGCAGGGAGGGAGGGAGAACATAAGAACATATAAGAACATAAGAATGGAGGAAACTGCAGCGGGCCTATTGGCCCATACTGGGCAGTCCCGTTTACACCCAACCCCTATTGCTCATATGAGCATCCAACCTATGTTTGAAGCTATTCAGCGTATTCGAGTTAATGATGATATTTGGTAACTTGTTCCATTCATCCACTACTCTGTTTCCAAACCAGTGTTTACCTATTTCACGCCTAAATCTAAATTTGTCTAATTTAAAACCATTGTTACGAGTTCGCTCCTGGTTGGATAGTTTGAGTACCTTTGTAATGTCCCCTTTGTTTAGCCCTGCCTTCCACTTATACACCTCTATCAGGTCGCCCCTCGCTCTACGTCTCTCAAGGGAGTGCAAATTAAGATGCTTTAACCTGTCTCTATACTCAAGGTTCCTAATGCCCGGGATTAGTCTTGTCATTCTCCTCTGAATTCTTTCCAAGGATTCTATATCCATTCTGTAATACGGTGACCAGAACTGAACTGCGTAATCCAGGTGTGGTCTCACAAGAGCAAGATACAGTTTTATTTCACAGCTGTATCAAGTGTAACGAAAACAATAAGAACTTCCATATTCCCTTATAATTCTGTCCCTTTCCTTGGTAACTGTCCACCACACTCCCCCCCCCCCCTTCCTCAACCACGAATGAGGGTCGAGTTCGTTCTCCAGTTTCAGACTTCTGTCCCAGGTAATTCTAACAGCTCATTATTTGTCTTTGGTATGCAAGCCAAGCTGAATTTCAATCTCGTTAAGGAGACTATTCTTGGCTGGCACCCAGAGGCCCTGTGCTGCCCACCCCCACCTCCCAGGAGCATCTCTTAATCTCATACTCTGTTGTTAACTGTAGGTCTGTCTAGTTCGTTGTTTTATCCCACATGAAGAGATTTGTGTTTTTCTTTATCGCACCAAACACGAGGGTACCTGTGTGTGACGTAGGCGCCCTTCATTACTGTGGTGGGAGCAGAAGTGTCTAGTAACTAGGTAACACTACTTCGTCGAGGGTTTGTTGACAGTCGATGGTTCTGTTGACAGTCGGGGGTTCTGTTGACAATCGAGGGTTCTGTTGACAGTCGATGGTTCAGTTGACAGCTAGGGCTTCAATTAGTAACAATTGCTACACCTTTCTCCTCCCACTGTCATCCTTGTCGTTTCACTGTCATTTTTTGTCATCTTTCTCACTGTCGTCCTTGTCATATTTTTCATTTTACTGTAATCCTTGTCATCCCTTTGTTATCCTGCCATGCCACTGTCATCCTGTCATGCCACTTTCAACCTATCATGCCACTGTCATCCTGTCAAGCAACTGTCATCCTGTCATGCCACTGTCAACCTGTCATGCCACTGTCATCCTGTCATGCCACTGTCATCCTGTCATGCCACTGTCAACCTGTCATGCCACTGTCATCCTGTCATGCCAATGTCATCTTGTCATACCACCATCACTCAAGATAACATTATTGATGGATCTTTTCTGCATTAAATTCATCCTTGATTAATCAACTACCTTACCCAATTTAGTATCGAATTCTTAATGATTTTTTCCTAAACTTCTTTGACTCAGTTCAATGTCAAGACGTCCTGGCCAAATGCAAATAAAAAACACATGAATACGTAATTGTATGGAATATCTCAAGACACCACTGAAATAACTTTTATTACAGGCGTCTTGAAGCTCCTATGTAAATTCAATCTGCATAGGAATCCGACTCAGAGACGCGAACGCCAGGGAGTTCTTAAAGACGGAACGACTGTCAACAAACTAGATATTATTCTTTTTTCTCATGTTTCTTTTGTTTTTATTACTGGGTTGTTTTGTGTTTTTTTTGGCGTGTTTTATATTTGTTTGTTTTTTGTCTTTTAGTGTTTTTGTTATATGTCTTGTTGATTTTTATAATTGATAATGTTTTCTTGGTGTTGTTCTTATAGTATGGATTTTCATTTCAATTTAATTATAATATATTTAATGGATTTTCCTTTCCCGCCCTGTGCCACTTCCCTTGAACTTTCCTCCCTCCTTCCCTCCCTCCCTCCCTTCCTCCTTCCCTCCCTCCCTCCCTCCCTCCCTCGTGTCCTACCTCATGAAGTTACGTATGAGTGGCATTAGGTTAGGTTTCATGAAGGTGTGTTTAGGTGTACATGAATTGTAACCTACTGTCCGATGTTTCTAAATAAGTATTGTATTGCGCCTAATGGTGTACCACATTTGTACTCAGGGTTGGGGTCTTATTTATTAACCCCATGAGTACGATGACTTAACCCCTTGAGTACGACGACTTAACCCCACAGAGTATAAAGTTATCGTACTCAAGGAAATAGGTCATCGTAATCAAAGGGTTGGGTTAAGAACTCATGTCAAGAGTTCTTACTCACCACACACTGTCAGATGCACCTATATATCCCCGTGTAGTTTATGTGACTCGGTGGCACCATATGGCACTGTTGGTGTGCCTGATGACAACTGGCACCTTATATTCTGTTATTCTTACTGGGCTCTACTGTCATATTGAATGGCAGAGTTTATACCATATTTAAGTGTGTGTGTGTGTGTGTGTGTGTGTGTGTGTGTGTTTGTGTGTGTGTGTGTGTGAGTGTATGTTATTCCGATAATGAATAACCAAAGTAAACAAATTCTTAACACTTACACAGACACAAACAAGAAAACTGCATGAACCTAATAAATAATAAGGATAAAAAAAACAGTATTTTATGTCATTTACTTTGGCCATGATAATAAGGGAACACCAGTAATAGATATATTCAATGGGTGAAATAATTAGCATAGGAGGGCAGGTGGGAGCCAGACGAGAGGACAGGTGAAGGAAATGAAATGTTGTGATCTCTCGTGATGCACAATATGAGAGGATTAGTGAAGACAAACCCGAAGAGTTTTTTTTTTAAGCAGGGAGAGAAGTTAATCCGAGTCATTCACAATTTAACCCATTTTATTTTTTTTCATTATTCCTAATTATGTAATTTTTTTTCTGATACATCCGAATTATATACCATTTCTGTTCCTATAAATCCGATTCACATAACAGGTGTTTTTTTTCTGATACATCCGAATTATATACCATTTCTGTTCCTATAAATCCGATTCACATACTATTTTGTCTTATCATCTGAAATTTGTACCACTTGATTATCGTTCTTGAAAGTTAATCCGACTTACCAGTAAAAAAAAAAAGTCAATTATTCCGTTTTTTAAGGTGGGAGGGGAGGTGGAGGGCGGGTTATGCAGCATAGAAAACTTGGATGGAAATATTTGTATATGGTTTCTCTTATATGTGTTATAAAGGTGTGTCTTTTATATAGTTTCAGCCTATTTTTGTGTTAACTACGCCAATAGGAAGACTTATAGACGTGTTAATGACGTCACTGAGAACCAATTTTGTGATTTTCATTTCTGTAGCCCGCCTGCTTTTGTTGCCACCATGACTTGACCTGACCTGACCCAACCTAAACTATCCTAACCCAACCCAACCCAACCTAACCTAACCATGGGCACGACATTATTCACTCTCAACCATACTACCATTGTCTCCATCATATTACCATAGCCTCTACCATAATGCGTTTCCTATACTACCATAACTTAAACCATACTACCATTGACATGACTGTGTTTCCTCGTCAACCACCCGCTAAGACGTCTACCATGCTACCATAACTTCCTCCACCACCATGAACACAACACGTTCCCTTTTCAACCCCCCCCCCCGCCCACCCCCTGCCCATAATCACGACGAATTGTTCCAAGCCGTTGTTACCTCCGTCGTAAACCCAAAATCTTACTGAACTGACGTATCTCCCTCCCTCCCTCCCTCCCTCCCCACACACTGTTCCCTCCTTCCTTCCCTCCTCCATCCCTACCCAAACATTATTCCTCCCTCCCCACCCCACACTCCCCTCCCTCCCCACCCCCCCTCTCCCACACCCCTCCCTCCCTCCCCACACCCCTCCCTCCCTCCCCACCCCCCTCCTCCCCACACCCCCTCCCTCCCCACACCCCTCCCTCCCTCCTCCTACCCCTCCCTCCCTATCTATTAGCAACAGTGTTAACTATCTATTGTTTTATTTTGGGGGAGGGAGGGGTAACCTTCCTCCCTCCTCGTCACCGGGTAGGGTTGCGAAATTGGATCAAATAACAAGGGGATGCTGATGATGTTGGCTGGTGGGCAGACCAACATTATTTGACCAGTTGGTTGGATCTTATTACTAATAGGACGTTTGCCTGTCACGTCACCCTGCCCGCCACCTCTCCTTACACCGGGTTTATGTGGGTCTTGTTTATTCTATTTTATATGAAGCGTCACACACCCACACACCTCAAGGGTTATAAAAGATTCCTAAAGTATTTTTTTTTCCATTATCTGGAGAAATAAACAAATCGAGACGCAATTCGACCAATGTTGTTTTTTTTTGGGGGGGGAGGGGGAGGGGGAGGGGGGCTGAGGTCGTAACTTAAATGAACCAGTTACATGCGTTCTTAAATACCTAAAGGAATGACTTAACGAACGAATCATTGAGAGGCTTGGCCAATGGTGGTGGTTCCGTCCTGATGACTGACAGCGGCCGGATTCCTCGTAAGAGAAGCTTTATCAGAATAATTGACCATCTCTCTAATATACAACCCTGTCCTCTAGGTTTGTTCAGTCTTAAATAACATCTCTTACGAGCGTAATCACCCGGGGGTTCACAGCTCTACAACGTATGTAAACAAGCGGCTGACCTAATGTTGTCTACGTCACGATGGTCCACCTGTTGCCAGTGGTGGCATGCGGTGTGGTGGGCGGAGCTGGCAGCGGCTGAGTGTATATAAGGCGTGGAGTCCCTGCCCGTGCCTGTATAGTCCCCGGACCTTCGAGCCAACAGCACCTCCTGGACCAGCCAGCACTCACTCACAGGCACATCACCGTCATGACCGGGGAGGTGTTTAGCGTCGTCCTCCTACTGACCCTCTCTGTCTTCGCTGCCGCCGGCCCCATCAAGGTCAGTCACCTCTTACTAATCACTGTATTGCCCTCCCCCCCCTCAGGTCACGTGATTTAAGGACCCAAGGTCATGTTATACGCGGGTCACACGTGTAAGACAGGGGTCATAATATGCTTAGGTCATGCGAGTGGAGGACCGGGGTTACACTTCAGCCAAGTCACACAAGGTATATAAGTACCGAGGTCATACAGGGACGGGGTCACACTATGCCTAGGTCACACAGATACAATGTTGTAGGTCACGGTTGCGAAAACTTCCTCGCATATAAACAGGTAACGAGAAGGTCGTCTTGGTAAAGCTGATATAAAGAAAACTATCTAATAACTTCTTCCGTTTATGTTATCAAGTATCAGTATATATTCCGGTTCAACTACTAACACTTCCGGTGTGAGCTGTGAACATCCGCACACTTTGATGCGGGATTTCTCAGTTTTGTCCTGGTAATCTTTTTTTAATAAACCAAACTCTAAAGTTAGGTGTACAGATAAACTACGTTATGTTATACTCATAATATTTTTGTTACGAATATAATTCCGGATTTGCAAATGTCGGAAATCTGACATCCGTTACACCACAAGGACAACACACTCGTCAGAGGACCGCAGGTGTAGCGGCTGTACTGGTGTGTGTGACACTTATGATCGCATGAATGATTTTTTTTTGTGTGAACGAAAGTAAATGCCCGAGTGTGTGTGCCTTTGTACAACACGACACACTTTCGATACAGTCACACACTCCACATGTGTACTGACAACTTGGGGTATAACTATTTATTCTTATAGACTGGGTTAGTACAGTAACTTGCACTAAACAAAATTAACTTATAAGTGAAAGTGGGTCCCATGAACGTAACAGTGAGGATACAGCACACTCTAAGTAGTACACCGTAACTTAACTCTCGGTACAAGATGAGACGGAACCTTGCCCTCCCCGTGTGAGTGTTGAAGGTGTAGTGGTAGAGGGCGTTGCAGTAGTTCTCTCAAATCATTTCACTACGACGGTGATGGTAGCAGTGGCGGTCCTGTGAGAAGATGGACTAGCTGTTAATTGAGTAACCATCGTGAGTGAACCATTCCTCTTTAGGTGTGGGGATAGGTTAGGTTAGGTTTTTATACAAGTCTCTCATACAGGCAGGCCAGATCCCGCCCAGGAGTTTGTAGATCGATATAAAGATAGATATTTATTCGGTAAAATCAGTATACCAGTTTACATTGGTTCAGCATGTATATAAAGTACAGGTGTACATACAGTGATAAACAGTAAAAAGATTCGACCATCATTAGTTTATTTCCAGTGGGATCCTTGACTTTGGCTGGGGACTGATCAGGAACAATGAATATATAGAAACTCACTGGCTGCAGCTTCAACAGTTATATATATATATTTTTTAATTTCATGTTTGAATTGATTGATACTATTACCTGCTTTAATCCGGTTTGGTATATTATCCCAGCCATTTATACCTGTAAAGATGGGGGCTGTTTTACTTGGCCGCGTATATCAGGTAGAACAAAATTACATTTACTTCCTTTAGAGCCTCATTGGTTCATGTTCGTAATTCTTAGATAATTTGATGAAATGTGTTGTCCTGTACACACGCCATTAACCAATCTTAAAAACGTGATTCAGCCTCCGTTGCTTCACTCCACCTCCCACCCCTCACTCTGCAGGACCCCGTGTTCAATGTGGTCTTTTGTGGTTGTATCCAAAATAAACCACACCATCTTGTATTGTGTAGTTTATCTTTAGTTTCTGTGTTAAGGCAGAGTACTTGGATGTGCAGGCATAGATAATAAATAAATGGTGTAGTCATACTTGACTAACAATAAAGAATTATATAAAGAATAAGTCTGGTGAGCGTCCTGCCCAAGGTTTTTCGTCTCTGTTAATAAGCCAAACAAAAGGTATGTCTCAGGTGTGCATTATTCAGGAGGTCATCGCTGGCGGGTGTTTGTTTGGAGGAAAAGCCGAGATTAGAAAAAGGGGATAAAAATAACTTTCTACTAAGACGTCGTCAAAGGCTGGGAGTGGGTGAGCGTCCCCCAGGGCTGACGGTGTGCCAGCCGCCAGTTATTAAACATTCAAGCGCTGACTTGTTCTTCTTGCCGGAAATATGATAACGCGTCTAACTAAATCACTACGTTGGTGAAATTCTATTAAAATTCAAAGGTAACTACATGCGTTAACTTATCTCCAGGAACACGGGGAAGACGAATAACGTGGGATTTTCTTAAACTTCGTATTTTTGCCTGCGGTCGACCCCATGTATAGCGGCTACGTCTCCTCGAACCAACCTTCCTAATACCCCGCTCTGTTTACAACTGTTCAAGACAGCCTTCTAAACAACAACCAGCTCAGTATCCCACCACAGAACGTTACCGAAGTAAATAAATCATCCTGGATTGGTCAGAACTTCCTGAGGTAACGTTTGCCGAGCTAGAGCTAATCAACCCTACTCTTGAAAGGTCTTACGAAACAGCGCCTCCCCTACTACTCGACACAAGCCAGTATACCTCATCTCCTGTGACTGTCGTCTCTTAGGCAGCAGTGCCCACGGTAGTCCTGCGTCCATTCTGATTGGTTTAAAATCTTTTGAAAGCAGATTCTTGGATATTCTTGAAGCCATAATTGAGAACTTTCTTTTTTATGTTGTTTCATTCTTTCCTCGGTCGTTCCAGAGACAGTCCATGAACCGTTAATGGAAATATTGTGAAACAGCCTCATTTAAGACTTTTTCACCCCGGTTCTTGATGGGAGTAAGTCACTGCCGCCCTTCACTATTCATATATCATTTATCACACTTTTTCTTGTTAGTTAGAGTGTTGGAATTATATCATTTTTGGGGGTTCGTGGAAAAGAAGGAACGAGATTTGTTTTCTGGGTAGGTGGTTGTCGAGCAGTCCAGCACCTGATGTACTGCTCACTACACTGAGAACTTTACCTAAGATCAGAGTTGTAGCCTCAGCTCAGCACAGGTGAGCCATCAACATCACTTAACCTTGAACGAGTTATTTCAAGGACGAACATAAAACCGCCGCATGTTGACGACATTGTACTTGGCAGGTGAACAACAATTATGACATATAAAACCGGTTATGAGAATTTTATTTAGCTTTGTAAGAGAGACAAGTTGTTTGTTCATAATATTTAAGATCACCATCACAGGCACGAGGCAGAGAGACGGTCACTGTGTGTCAGTACCGGGTGTAGATAAGCGACACACACACACACACACACAGCACCACACTCCCTCACATCACCCCCACAAAATGCCCCAACTCGCACATCTCAAGCAAGTCAAGACAAAAACTAACCCCCTTCCTCTCTCCACCTCCCCACCCTAACCCCTCCCCAACCCCTTCCATCCCTTCCTCTCCCCTTCCACCTCCCCAGAAGTTTGAGGTGGTCGGCTAAGTGAAGGATCCGGCAAGCACTATCAAGTTAGAAGAATCGACCTCACGAGAAATATTTCCCTTCCTATCTGGCAAGCAAACTCCTCCCAGCCCTCACCACTGAATTGTTAAGTTTATTCTTTTGAGAAAAATTTGGCATTTTTGTGTGATCTGACCTTTGCGGTTTATGAAGGAAAGTTGTTTAGATGTTCAGGAAACACTTTATGGTCTGGCTCTATTCAGTTGGAATTACCTCGATCTGTTTTGACTTCAGTAAGCACTTATTATGCCTCATGGAGCACTCGGGTGGACTTTAAAAATAGTACTGTAAGGGTGTGTGGCTCTGTTTTAACTTTAGGAAGCACTTATTATGCACCATGAGGCACTCAGGTGGACTTACTTGATTGTGTTACATAAAAAGATGTGCAGTTGTGTTTTACGAACAATGGAACTCATTTTGAACCTGTGTGTGTGTGTGTGTGTGTGTGTCAGCTGCTGGGATAAACGTAGACTATATATTTGCCTTTACTTAACATATAATTTCTACAACATCAAGATAAACTTTCTCGTCAACTAAGGAAATTCCCAGACAAATTTCCTTATAAAATCTCGGCTGTTGACATTCCGGTAATGAGAAAATTATGGCTGCTGCTCTAAGGTGGCTGCTGGATCTCTCTCTCTCTCTCTCTCTCTCTCTCTCTCTCTCTCAGCTTAAGCCGTGAGAGATGGTGAAGCCAGGCCGGTAAGATGGATCATCTCTCCATGTCACCGTCCGCATATGACATTAATTCCTGTGACGACTCGCCCTCAAACGTTTGACTATTTCGTGAATATTTTTATTTATTTTTATTATTTCCTGACATAAAACACACACACACACACACACACACACACACACACACACACACACACACACACACATTTACAAGAGCTGTATGATATTAATAATTGTCGTTTAGGCTCTTGTTGTGACGCATCTGGTGACCTCAATTCCCACATCTTGACTACTTTACCTGATGTTAAAGGTGTTTCATCACTTAATATATATACATACAAGTAATTAACTACCTAAACCATAAGTGGTGAACGGTGTTATTATCCAGCGTCTCATATAACATTAATAATTAATGTTAATTTGTTTACATGATTTAATTACATCCATAAAGGTAGTTAAAGCTTGTGTAGTAAAGGGCGCCTCAGCCTCGTAACACATTCAACTAATTAACTAAGTAATATAATCATTTAAGTCAGTTTAATTTTTTTATTTTTAAGTTTAATGTTGCAAAAGACGATCTGAAGGGGGGAGGGGGGTTAAGGTACACTCCTGTTGTTGTTGTTGTTCTTATTATTGTTGTTATTGTTGTTGTTGTTATTGTTGTTTGAAGGCATTAATGTGCCTTGATCTTTAAGTACACAACACAAGGTCTGTTTCTACACCAGCCAACAACAGTAGTTTAGTGTAATGGGGGGTCAAGTTTACGTTACTAGGTCAATCAAGGTGTACTGAGATGTATGACCCCGTGTACAGGTGGACCAGTAACCTAGCCTTCAGAGTATTAACTTACACTAAAGTTAAAGTGTAATTTGGATACCATCTTTGCCATTGTATTTTTTTTATGTATCTTCGCATTAAGAATTGTTCCCATGTGTGTCTTTATATTTGTAATTACGAGGAAAATCTAACTTGGGGAATTTTGAGAATCTTGGTAGAGAATTAGAGTGACACACACACACACACACACACACACACACACACACACACACACACACACACTCACGCACCCTGTAATCCTCTCGCACCCTGTGACTTTCGCTCCCTGTAATCCTCTGTAATCCTCGCACCCTGTAATCCTCTCGCACCCTGTAATCCTCTCGCACCCTGTGACTTTCGCTCCCTGTAATCCTCTCGCACCCGTTAATCCTCTCGCACCCTGTGACCTTCGCCTCACCCGGTATGACAGCTGATCATACTGACTCTGACAGCTGTGAGACGTACTTTTTAGTTCGAATTAATGGAGAACGAGAAGGGGAGCATCACCTTATAACCCAACACGAGGGAGAGAGAGAGAGAGAGAGAGAGAGAGAGAGAGAGAGAGAGTGAGAGAGAGTATCACCCCACACGATGGAGAGAGAGGAATGAGCGTATAGATACAACGAGATAGAGAGAAAGAGAAAAGTAAAGAGATCGAAAGAGACAGAAAGGGGATAGAGGAGGACAAAGGTTGGAGACAGACAGACAGACAGACAGACAGATCTTGACACCAAACCATGCGGAGGGAGTGAGATGTCGCCTCGAAAATTGGGTTATCCTGTACTTTCGCTATTCTTGTTCTGTTCCCCTACCTGGTGTATTCTCTCTCTCTCTCTCTCTCTCTCTCTCTCTCTCTCTCTCTCTCTCTCTCTCTCTCTCTTTCCCTCTCTTTCGCTCCTTTTCTTTAGGTGTACAGGATAGTTGAACAAAATGAAGAGCTACCGCGTGAGTTGAACAAAGTAGATGAACAAATTGGTGGTTTAACGTGAAATATGAACATAAGTGAACATGTACAAAAGTGAACTTCCATAATAAACAATCTAGGTGTAGAGGGTAATTATACAAGATCGGTAATCATCATAGTTGAACAAAAGTGAACAAGTCAGTTGAACAAGACAAAATATAGTCCAGATGATTTTGTTAGATGAATCAAAATAGAATAAATAGAGAAATGAAAACAAGTTAAATGAACAAATCAAGTGAAAAGGAAAGGTGAATAAATTAGGTGAACATAGAAGAAGAATAACAAAATCAGGTGAACAGAATGGTAAATAAGGAGACTAAATTACAAGAACAAATCTGTAGAGCAAACTCGGTGAACAGGAAAGGTGAACAAAATTGGGTGGAAAGAACATCACATGAACAAGGGAGATGAACAGAGGAGGTTCAAAAATGAGGACGAACAGGCAGATGAACATGACAGCTGTAATGAACTATCTCCTCCCTTTGATTACACTATAGCGCTCTCTCTCCCTTCGTCTCTCCCTCCCACCCTCCCTGTCTGCTTCCTCCCTTCTATTCCTCCTTCCCTCCCTCAATCCCTATCTCTCCCTCCTTCTTTCACTTACCTCCCTCCCTCTCTCGCCTCCCTCCCTCCTTCCCTCCCTCTCCCTCCTTCTTTCACTTACCTCCCTCCCTCCCTCTCTCGCCTCCCTACTTCCTTCCCTCCCTCATTCTCTTCCTCACGTCCTGGAACGGGAAGGAGTGAAACAGGGATAACAGGAGGGAAGATCTGGAACTGGAATAATTGGAATGGGAATATTTGGAGCTGGAATGATAGGAATGGGAATAACAAACTGGAATAAGAGGAATGGGAATATTTAGGAATGGAATATTAACAACGGGAATATCTGGAATAATAATGGATATGTATGTGTATGTGTGTGTGTGTGTATGTGTATGTGCACCTTTGACACACACACACCCACACACACACACCCACAAGATTCTATCAGGGAATACCACCACACCCCCCCCACCACCACCACCACACCCCCCACACCCCCACCACACCCCAACCACCACACCCCCCCACCACACCACCACCAACCTACCACATTAATGCCAGTAGTCCGTTTTTAGGGTCTTTTTGTGCGTGGTAATTCCATCTTCCACTTATCATCGGAAATCTCCATTAGCCGGGCCAGATATTTTTAGGGAGTGTCGAACCATTTGTGGCACTTAATGTTCATTCTGGAGTCGAGTGAATAGTACACCCCAGGACCTTGTTGCTTGTGGATATACTGTAGAAGGATATACTGTAGAAGGATATACTGTAGAAGGATATACTGTAGAAGGATATACTGTAGAAGGATATACTGTAGAAGGATATACTGTAGAAGGATATACAGGATATACTGTAGATGGGAGAGATATGGTTGTTATATAACGTTTGGGTATACAGTAAGCCTGTTTATGGAGAGAATGTGTGTGGGTGTGTGGCAGTGTGTGTGTGTGTGTGGGGGTGTTTGTGGGTGTGTGGCAGTGTGTGTGTGTGTGTGTGGGTGTTTGTGGGTGTGTGGCAGTGTGTGTGTGGGTGTAGAATTATATGTGGTATTCAATATGAAGAGAAAGTGAAACATATAGAGACAAGACACCAAGACACAGACTCACAGGTAACATAATAAGCACACCTAATGGCTTATTAATGACGTCACTGATGACATGATAACCTAACTAGCCATTCACAGCCCGAATGAGAATTTTCCAAGTAACTATCACATAACAACCAACACTTACACAAACTAACGGGGAAATTTGTTTACACACACGACACTTACACACATCAACGGGGAAATCTGTATTCACACCCAATACTTACACACAAACTAACAGAATTCCTTTACGTGACAACACCAGTGCTGGGAAATGTTGAAGGTCCCTCATGTTAGCGAGCTGTTCTGAGAGGCCAATCAACCAGGAAATGTTGTGTATTCATGAGGCGATGACCGAGCTATTAAGCACCCAATTCAGTGCTCATATGTCCTGAAGGTTGGAGTTACAAGCGAGTCATATGTCACATGAGTGGTGGTGGTGGAGTGTCTGGTGTTGGAGTGGTCATGGTGATGGGTTGTGTTGGAGTGTGTGGTGTTGGTGGATGGTGATGGGGGTGTTGGTGCGAGGTAATAGTTGTGGTGTTTGAGTGGTGTGTGTGTGTGTGTGTGTGTGTGTGTGTGTGTGTGTGTCAGATGAACTATATTGCTGTACTCTTCAACACTCACTAAAAGCTAGGAACAAAGACATGTGACTAAGGTGGAGAGAATTTACTGAAAGCTCTTGGTAAAACAGGTACAATGTTTGATAGGCTGTGGAGGAGCTCACTCTGCCTCTTGAAAAGCTTTGACAGCGTAAAAAAAAATCCTATGAAACTTTCTTTGATTCTTAGACAGCTGGAGTGATGCGTACGAAGCATTGGGTTACCTTGGGGAGCCAGTGAGAGAGAGAAGTTATTTACGAGAGCCATCAGGTAGGTGCCAGGGAGAGGTCTGAAAGGATAGCTAACTCAGTAATGACTTGATGGCACCAGAAGTATGAGGGAAATGTGTAGATGGTAGATAACTTTTTAGATGAGGTTTAAAATTGATGCATAGTCGAAAAAATAATTATTATTGTCAAGGAATGATGGAGAGGGGTCGATGGAAAGTCATTTTTGTCTAAGTGTCAAGTAGTTTATTTTTTGTGGTTTGAAACTTTATTAGTTGATTTTTTCTTGTGAAACTTGATTCCTTATATTGAGTTATCTATCTTTTCTCGTCCAACTTTGCTCAGGTGACGGTGTTGGTGAGACGGAAGGTTTGTTCACTAAGGGCTTCACTTGTTAACCTGCCAGGCCTCCTACATGATTAACTAAGTTCATTGCCTTTTGTCATGAAACTAATTTTCTTGATTTGAATTTCTTCTGATGTGACTTTATGTTTAAGTGTTCAATTCCCACTAATTTAAGAGATGAACAGTGTATTTTTCAGGTAATTTAGTTCATACTATAACACAAAGCTCAGGTGAGAGTCTACCTTTGTGAAGCTAACGAGTATATCGCTATAAATTCACTGACGGCAATTTTAACATTCTTTAAACTATTAATTCATTCTTAAAGACACAAAAATAAATAAATCCCTTTGTTTCGAGTATGTTAATTAATTTGCATAAGTTAATATTTTACTTCTGGGTGTAGCTCAAAGATAATAATTGCAGTATTTGTTAAGCTGAAACTTTTCTCGTGTTCATAGGTTCGCTTTCTGTCCGCCATCTTCATACCAATTGTAAGTGAGACTCTGTTTATGCCCCTTGATGTCTTATTTGTTGTTTGGTTTCATTTATGTTTTAATCCAAGAAACTTCCTGTCCTCCCATGTTGACTTTCCTCCTTCCCTCTTCCCGCGTCTCTCTCTACACACACACACACACACACCGTCATCCAAATTCTCTCTCTCTCTCTCTCTCTCTCTCTCTCTCTCTCTCTCCCTCCCTCTCTCTCTCTCTCTCGTAGCTTTAAATATTCCTCCTTTTATCGGCTAATGTACTTAACTTAGACCTTATTGTTGTTTTTCCAACTCCTCTCCTTCCTCCTCCTCTTCTTCCTCCTCCTCCTCCTACTCTTCCTCTTCTTCCTCCCCTTCCTCCTCCTTCTCTTCTTCCTCCTCTATTGGTTGCGTGTCAGAAACCTACTCCGCTGTCAGCCTTTTTAAATTGAGGTACCTGCTGTTACTCGTATCTGAGGCCTGTCACTCTTGATTTCCTACACCCTCGTTCTTGTAAACACACACACACACACACACACACACACACACACACACACACACACACACACACACACACACACACACACAGAGGCATCCACATCTTTTTCTTTTTGTCTCCTCCTCCTCCTCCTTCTCCTCTCTTCCCATTAATTCCTAACCACACGTTATTCGTTCACCACTCACCTTCTTATCATCGTTCCCTCCCGTTCACTAAGATTTACCTTAACACCATATAATCCCAGTCATTGTTTAGATTAATCCCACTGTTGTTTTTGTTTTCTGTTCCTCGTCTCCACCACGTCACGTACCTGTCCTTAAATAACTCATCTGTTAATTGGATCCTGAAGTAAATAATCTTTGTTTTGATTCACCGCCGCACCACGACCCGCTGCCTGCGTCCCATGAGACAACCTGTATCGTTCCTTTAGATTTTTGTGCACAATAAACAGGATTCTCTCTGGCTCTCTTTCTTCTCTATGTCTTTATCTATTTCTACGTCTATTCTTACGTTTATATATATATCTCTCTCTCTCTCTCTCTCTCTCTCTCTCTCTCTCTCTCTCTCTCTCTCTCTCTCTCTCACCACATCTTCCTTTAAATTTCTGAACTTGGCGTGATGGCCATGACACATTCACGTCCCAAACATGATGATAACAGGACCGTCATCTCTCTTGCATCTGACTCGAAGGTTCTGCCTGTTGCTGTTCCTGACGCCCCGAAGCACCACGCCCCTTGTCACCTCAGTCTGTCTGTCTGTAGAAGGTGAGGGTAAGACAGACAGACAGACACGTCATGTCTTCTTCTCTGTGTTGTCTGATGATGTTACAGCAGTGAGAGTGAAGAGTAATGATGTTACAGCAGTGAGAGTGAAGAGTAATGATGTTACAGCAGTGAGAGTGAAGAGTAATGATGTTACAGCAGTGAGAGTGAAGAGTAATGATGTTACAGCAGTGAGAGTGAAGAGTAATGATGTTACAGCAGTGAGAGTGAAGAGTAATGATGAGTACAGCAGTGAGATGTGAAGAGTGAATGATGTTACAGCAGTGAAGAGTGAAGCAGTGTGAAGAGTACAGCAGTGAAGAGTGAACAGCAGTGAGAGTGAAGAGTAATGATGTTACAGCAGTGAGAGTGAAGAGTAATGATGTTACAGCAGTGAGAGTGAAGAGTAATGATGTTACAGCAGTGAGAGTGAAGAGTAATGATGTTACAGCAGTGAGAGTGAAGTGTGATGATGTTACAGCAGTGAGAGTGAAGAGTAATGATGTTACAGCAGTGAGAGTGAAGAGTAATGATGTTACAGCAGTGAGAGTGAAGAGTAATGATGTTACAGCAGTGAGAGTGAAGAGTAATGATGTTACAGCAGTGAGAGTGAAGAGTAATGATGTTACAGCAGTGAGAGTGTGATGATGTTACAGCAGTGAGAGTGAAGTGTGATGATGTTACAGCAGTGAGAGTGAAGTGTGATGATGTTACAGCAGTGAGAGTGAAGTGTGATGATGTTGCAGCAGTGAGAGTGAAGTGTGATGATGTTACAGCAGTGAGAGTGAAGTGTGATGATGAGTGAAATAAGACACTGTATATATTAACTGTTATTTCTAATTATCCATTCCATAACATATACATACATACATACATACATACATACATACATACATATATCAACGCCTATAAAAGTAATAATATAATATATATGGTAATTCTAATACACATATTAATAATGGACAAACTAAATTACATTATAAGCCTTTGTAACAACCCCCCCCCCCAGTTATTTTTCTAGTCTCATATTAACATAACTCTAAAAAATTTAATAAACCACAACAGAATCAAATAATATCATCAGGCTGAATTATTCTTTGTGTAGAAAATGTAATTAAAATTTTTTTCATATGGAATAAATTAGACCATATATTTTTTTTTTTCGACTGATTGTCTTTGTGTGTTTACGAACCAGATTGTGATTTTTTTTTTAAATTTATTCTTTGTCGATTAAATAGTTTTTTTTACCTCATTAGCGATTAAATGAAGTTGGTTAGATGGAAACAACATTCTGAAATTAACTATGAGATATTGGTGTTAAGTGAAAAGAGAGAGAGAGAGAGAGAGTTAACTTTGCTGTCAGGTCAGGTTAGGTTAGGTTAGGTTAGGTTAGATAAAATAAATAAAAACTCAAAACACATTACACAAGAATCGACCAAACACATTACCTGTAATTAACAAACATAAATGACACAGAACAGGTAAGACACTTTAACATTAATGAGACAATATGAAACGGTAGAAAATGTGGTAAATGTGTAAATGTTATGAAAATATGATGAGCAAGAAGAATGTTTCAGTGTCAAGGATCATATGAATGTTACAGGAAGCGTTGTGTGGGTAGTGAGAGACAGTATGTGGTGTGGGTAGTGAGAGACAGTATGTGGTGTGGGTAGTGAGAGACAGTATGTGGTGTGGGTAGTGAGAGACAGTATGTGGTGTGGGTAGTGAGAGACAGTATGTGGTGTGGGTAGTGAGAGAGACATTATTATTATTATTATTATTATTATTATTATTATTATTATCACACGAAAATTCATTGGTAAACAAACACTATAGCGAAGTGGTGCTGTTATCATCAATTCACTTTCGTTTGTACTATCATTAACAATTCTCAATTTAACGTTCAATGTAATTTTTTTATCGAGGTATTAATTAATATTGTTTATAGCTTCCAGTAATTAAAGTGAAGCCTGAAGTAGTGTGTAGTGACAGCTTCATCACACACACACACACACACACACACACACACACACACACACACACACACACATACTCACACACACTAATATCGCATAATCATTTAATGTAACGACAATAGATCCATGTCTATTGTGTTCTGTGGACGTGAGTACATATATATATATATGTGTGTGTGTGTGTGTGTGTGTGTCATCTAGGGAGATGGAGGAAGAGGGAGAGGGATAGAAGGGAAGGAAGGAGGAGCCGCACAGGAGTAAAGGAGGTAGAAAGAAAGGGGGAGGGAGGAAAGGGAGAAGAGAGGGAGGGAGAGAGGGGGCGGTACATCAAAGACCAACATCTATTCAGCGACCCGTCACCTAGATTATTCTGTGACCCACCAACCAATGAGAGTAGAGTTCTCAGAAGCAGCAACCAATGAGGATGAATCTCTTAGGTGACCTGGTATGATGGAGACGGTAAAGTCGTCAGCCCAACATCCGGATTTTCAAAGAACCTCGACTTGAATTTTACTCTCAACCTCTCACGTAAGAACGAATTTAACCGTATAGCATAGGTAAAAATGTCTTCAATATTAAACCGAGACTCTACAGTAACTTGATGCGGCGTGTTGTCAATTGTTAGAGACCAAGGCTGTGTTGATATATTGAGATTAAGTTCTCTCTCTCTCTCTCTCTCTCTCTCTCTCTCTCTCTCTCTCTCTCTCTCTCGTTACGTTGGGACTGCGATCATAGTTGTTGTGCCAGACATGTTAATAGGCAGAAGTGACCAATTATACAACGAGACGCCCTCACAGACACAAAGACAGAGAGAGAGAGAGAGAGTGAGATAGGAAGAGAATTAGAAACAGAGACCACGATGGGAGAGAGATAGAGAGATAAGAAAAAATTATCAAAAAGAAAGAAAGTGAAGAGATAGGAAGAATATAGAGATACCAGAGAGATAGCGAGAGTAAGGAAAAACATTCATTCTCTCCTTGTTTATTTCCATCATTCTTACCCTGTTTATATCCTTCTTTCATTCTTCTCTTATTTATTTATTTACTTATTTCATTCCTTCTTTCCTCCCTTTCTTCCTTCCTTCCTTCCTTTCTTCCTTCCTTCCTTCCTTCCTTCCTTCCTTCCTTCCTTCCTTCCTTCCTTCCTTCCTTCTGTCTTCCATGCTCTACCAAACACTTAAACTCCTCCGTTTCTGAACCAATCAACTATTTCTGCCTGTTGTTCTTAGTTACTCAGCGCTATGGGCTTGTACCCTGGCCAAGCAACACACCCACCAGCCAGGTCCCTCCCTTGTATAGTCTTGAATCTTCAGGTCGTCTCTTAGAAGGTCAAAGGTCAAATACAATAGAGGTAATATTTCCAACACGAATATCGTCAAACTACTGACTAATATAGATATATTTTAATAATTGGCTGGTGAAAGTAGATAGGGTGAAAGTTGACAGGTGAAAGTAGACAGGTAAAAGTAGACAGAGGTGATGGTAGACAGAGGTAAAAGTACAGAGGACAAATTAAACGGGTGAAAGTACACAGGGGTGAAAGTACACAAAGGTGAAAGTAAACAAAGTTAAATGTATACGAAGGTGAAAGTAGACCAAATAAAAAACGAAAGATATTACATCGCGCAAACCAACAAAACTCTGCGGTCTCCGCCAGCCACATTTCACTTACTATTTTATTTAATCTGATTTTATTTCACCGACCCCTGACCATCAATAATGATAAAATCAACGAAATACAATAAAAATCACGACTTCTGACCAATATACCAATATGTCTTAAG